CGAGTCCCACGCCCGTGGAAGTGGTTTTGTTTGCTTCTCATGAGCAATGTACAATGGGAAATGTTTCTCCGTCTCTTAACACCTAACCCATTGGTTCTCAAACTGGGGGTCGGGAGCTCGTGTTAAGGGGGTGGCTGGGGCTCGCTTAGATGTGATGGGGCCTGGGAGTGAAGCCTAAGCTGCATTGCCTGGGGGCAAAGTCCTTGAGCTTCAGCTTTGGCCCCCCTGCCTGGGGCAGAGGGGCTTGGGCTTTGCCCCCCCGGGTCAGCAAGGCCCAGGCTTCAGTCCCCCCTCCAGGGTCACATAGTAATTTTTGTTATCTGAAGGGGTTGTGGTGCGATGAAGTTTGAGAACCCCTCAGCCCTGGAGAGGGTCTCGCCTCCTTAGGCAGCAGATCCCTTAGCAGACAAGTGGTCTCGCTGGCCACCAGCACCGAGGCAGGTCACTCTCCGTGCATGTTCCCAGAGACCTGTTACACAGCAGGTACACACGTGGCAGCTGGCTGGATACATGAACGGAAAGGTGCTTGCCCCAATCCCCCCCACCATCACCACCTTCCCAACCACAGCAGGCTACAGTCCGTGCTATTTTGGGTAATAGCCCAAGGCCAGTTCCCTCCCACTAAGTATTAGAAACAAACAAGTGTTGGGAAGTTCAGTGTCAACCCATGTTGCCAGGAACCAAAAAGCTTCTCGGTTAGAACCGTGACACCAAGGCAGGGAGTGGAGCGATTTTGGCAGAAACCAGCGTGGGACGTTTTGATTCCAAGCAAAGGCTTTTGGCTGTGTTGTGTGTTGTAAAAGCCTCATTTTGTCATGCAGAAGAGTTAGCTAGATGGCCAGACACCCTGATCAGGGTTAGAGAGCGTGCAGTTCTTCTATCACACAGGAACGGTGGGTGGAGCAGTTTGCCCGTACCTGGCTTGTCTACACCCAGACTTCCTAAACACCGGATTCGTTAAACTGAGGCAAACCCCTGGGGGAAACTCCTCTGGTTTAAAACTGGTGATAGTGGTTGAGCTTGAGCCCATAGGTTTATCACTGAAAGTTACACAGATAAGCCAGATTTAAACCCCAGGAGCATCTACCCACAGATGCACCCATTTAACCCATCTCGCCTTTCGTTAAACCAGTGCCGGTGCGGTGCGTGAGCAGACCAGGCCTTCACACAAGTGACTGTCTCCGCACGCACTGAATGGACTGACCGCCCCTGAAGGCCTCTGCCACCAGCCCTGGATCAGTCTGTCCTCGGCTCACCTGGGAACGGGGCATTTTCCTTAGGGGAGCGGTGCCTCTGCCTGACTTTGGCAGGGGCGGAGGGATCAGTCAGCGTTCTGCACTGGAAGCTGATCAGCTGCAGGGGCAGCACCCAGATCTCAGGGGAGTTCCTGTTACCAATTCTCTACCCTTACCATGGCCTGCAAGTCAGTATCCCCAGAACGTCCATCCTATGGGCTCTGCGGGGTCACCGCACTTGTCTGGAGACAGGCCTAGAAGCTAAAGGAGGCCCAGACCAAAACGCCCTTAGAAGGCAGCTCAGGCAGTCCTGGATTGACACCATCACTCCGCCAAGTGCTTTGTAAGAGTCCGCTTTGAAAGACAACAAAGACCTAAGTCCCTTCGAGCAGGGCTCAGTTCTCCCGCCCTCGCTCTCCCGGAGTAGCTCCCCTGGCTCAGTGAGAAAGGGGAGCAGGATCTGGCCCATGGCTATTGGGAACCAGGTCAGGCCCCAGCATGAGAATCCAATTGTCAGTGAAACCAGGGAGTCCACGGCCACCCACCAAGCCAGCCACTGCAGAGCTTGGGTTCACCCAGATTCTTGTTGTGCTTGACAGAAGAGCCAGGACCCAGTTGGGTTGTGCACTTCCCCACTTGGCCCCGTTGGGGGAAAAACCCCGGCCCGGGGGTTTCAAGGGAAGGCTCTGGGGGAGGAAGACGCATTCCACTTCAGGGGTGTATGCACCTTGCATCCCCTTTGCTTTAACTGCTACTGGGCAGAGAGAAAGTCAGTGGAGAGCATAGCAGCCATTCCATTCATCATAACGGGCCCTGAGCAGATCTTAAATCGCACCGCCAGCTCAGGGTGCGTTATGTAAATGGAGGAAGGCAGCTAAACTCCTTCTCTAATGTACTGTTTGCGTCTGCCATTGCTCATGCACAACTTGCTGATCCACCCTGGAGTCAGAGCTCTTACCCAGCACACCTGGAGGTGTAAACAGGCGTCTGCCCTTGTGAAGCGCTGACACCTGGGAGCTCGGTAATCACAAAGAACTGCTCCCAGGGATCAAGAGAATGAAGAATTTTCCATGATGCACTGAGTGGACAAAGTCACACTTCTGCCTGAACTGAATCACTTCTGTAAGGAGTAACCCCCGAGATCCCATCACTGACAGAGCAGAGCAAAGCACTCTTGTTTCCCAGGGTTTTAGTACTTGGTGCATTTAGCCGCAATTTGTACAGAGTCAGGTTTATTTCTTCCCCTGTAGATTGTGTTCTTTCCCCGCCCCCTGGGCAGCGGCAGAGAAGAGCAAGGTTGTGTTTGTTTTGTTAAAGAGCAAACTGTGGACTGGGGGGAGGAGACTCTCGGGCAGGTGTACCATTGAAACCACTTTTAACTCATTCTTTGCAATTGACTAAATTCCCAGCTGATGGGCTCCTTTGAGCAAAAGCAAACAACCAGAGGATTAAATCTACACCCTGCCAATTTCACCCGGTCTCTTCTCCCACCCAGAAAGCTGAATTCTGCTCAGTATCCATGCGCCATTCGCACTCAGAGGATGGCGGTCAAGCCAAGCCCACCGCCAGGCTAGCTAAAGGAAAACTCTTTGAAGCCATTAGAATCACATCGTTCCAATTCATTACAAAACGTAGGATGTCTCGTCATCTCCTCCAGCAGCAATTTGCTGTTGAGGTATCCAAACCTAGCCTTCCACCCCTGAGCAGCACCGTTAGTCTGCACCTTGCAAGAGGCTTCTTCCATGGGCAGTGGGTGAACCCCTGGCTTGGGGAGGCTAGCCTCCCAGCCCCACCCTTCCACCCGAGGCCCCGTCCCTTCTGCACCCACCAGAGCCCACACACACACACACACGCACACACCCTGAGCTTGTCCCCCGTAATGAAGTAGAGCTGACTGCGAAAGCCTTGAAGCAAACCAGCCAATGCCATGTCAGCATATTGCCTTGATGGAACACCCTGGAAACAGACACCAAGGCTGGGGAGCATGCAAAGGCGGCTTTAGCCATGAGAGTGTCTCCAGCAGCTGGGCTCAAAGTGCTGTGAACCCCAGAACCCTCGCTGCACCACGCCCACAGGGTGCAGGGCTGCCCTCTGCGGTGCACTGGGCAATTCCCAGGACGAACCGGCACTCCGAAAATGGCACCTTCCTTTCTCTGAGAGCGGCGGGGTGTCCTCACAGTGCCTCTCGTTGCTGGGAAGCTGCGTGTGGGTAGGAATGGCCTACTGCGTGTGCCGTGGCCAGTGTTAATGTGGGTGGTTGGAGCTGCGGCGCCCCACCCCAGAAGGGAGGGGGCTGTTTTCAAACGCCGCGCCAGGACGCCGGGTGTGAGCACCGGGGTTAGGAAGGGTCAGGCAAAGGAGCAATTCATTCGAACCCGTGCTGGTGTCGCCACTGGCGGCCTCCAGCTCAGCTGCCTCCTGCGTGCGGCTCTCAGAGCAGAGGAAGTTTCCCAGTAACGTCGGGTCTGAACCAGCTTATCAGGAAACACGGCACCAGTGGCGGGGCCATTCACTCCGCGCAAAGGAACAGCCCCGAGAGGGTCTGTGCTCCTTCAGCCTGGCTCTGCGCCCCACACCCTGCTCACCGCACTGAACACTCATTCCACGGTGCGGCTTCTTCCTGGCAACCTGAGGAAACTCTGCTGGGTACAGCAGGGGCTCGAACAAACATTTTGTAGTTATAAAAACACCAAACATCTTAATCCAGTGAAAAGTGCGGAGAAGTGCCTGGGATGCCCAGACCTCCTCTGAAGAACTGGGACTGTCTGGTGGTGAGACAAGGACACGGTCACTTTACCCAGAGGTAGCTGCATTCCAGAGACGTGCACAGGGACTCTGTCCAATGAGCACACATTTTATTGGGTTTCCATAGCACCGAGATACAAAACGGACTCATCATTTAATACCTTTGTCACTCCTGGTCACAAGAGCTCCCACGGTCACTAACTAGGAAGAGCACAGTCCAGTTCAGAATTTTTCCAATGTGAAAAATAATCATGAGTTTTTGTATTGCCAGCATCTCCCCCAGGTTGTTTTTTTTAACCCCAGATGATGGGATAAATGATCTCCTGGGTCCCCCTTAGTGATCTGGAACAGAGTTTAGTCGTAACTAAAAAGCAGGACAGTCGTTCTTTAGATTTCAAATACCGATTTTCCAGAGGCAGGCTCAGGAATAAACCAGGGAGTCACTGGTAAGTTCCAGCCAGCAGCACCTTTCATTTGTGTTCATGGCTGTTTCCAAAGTGTTTCCATTTTAGGGAACGCTCATCAAAGATGCATGAAATCTTCTCAATTCACGCTACAGAGTTTGCAAAACTCTGGGATCCAGCACAATACCAAGGCAAGATTAGAATACTGAGACACTTGCCACCTTTTCTATCACATAACGCGAAGTTGAGTTAGTCTGTGGCTGTGTTTAAGGCTGTCTTAAACCCGTAAGAGGGATGGGAGGTGGGAAGTGAAGGATTTCCCCCACAGAAATCACAGGCTAAGTAGGAAAGTCCCTAAATTTCATTTCATTTTCATTTCAATCCAGTCTCAGAATGACTCGCACACCTGTTCTTCCTGCAATAAACCTTCTGGGGGAGATTAAGGCAACAGCCACGTTAGGCAAAGTCTCAGAGCTGCCCTCCCACTCAAGTCCACGTCCTCACTCTGCCCATTCCTACCCACGTGCCAGTGAGGGGCAGCATGGTCACATGGCAGGGCTGCCCAGAAGATTCATGGGGCCTGGGGCAAAGCAATTTCGGGGGCCCCTTCCAGAAAAAAAGTTGCAATACTATAGAATACTATATTCTCGTGGGGGCCCCTGTGGGGCCCAGGGCCTGGGGCAAATTCCTCCCCTTGCCCCCGCCCCCCTCCCTCCCGGGCAGCCCTGTCACACAGACAGGGGACATGAGGTTCCATTCCTGGCTCAGCCACAGACTGGCTGGGTGACCTTGGCCAGGTAACTCGCTTGCTGGGCGTCTGTCTCTCCCCCACCCCCACCCCCTCATTTGCAGACCGGGGAGAGCCTGGAGGCGAAAAGTGCCCAGGCTCAGTGTCCTATAGGCCCAGGCTAAGCACAGAGCGAAGTGGAGAGTTACAGACTGCCAACCCCTGAACAGCGCCCAGGCACCGCGGTGGCAGGGGCCTTTCCTCCAGTCCAGGGGAACGGGGTGGGACGCCCCTTTGGAGGGGCTAGTGCTGCTCATACTCCTAGAGAGAGAAGAGACGAGATGCTCTCCTTCTCCCCTCTGCACGCTGGCTCCCCAGCACCCCTGCTCTGGGCCAGGAGGCTGTGCCTAGGAGTGGGCTGCAGAAAATCTCCCCTTAGCACAAGAAAAGAGAGAGGACCACCCCTGGCTCCGGTGCCACTCTGAATGGAGCTCGGCTTGACTCTTGTTTTTAATTGGAGAGAAGCAGCCGCCAAACCTGTTTCTCCAGGAGGCCTGGCTGGAAAGAACGTGCATTCCTGCCCAGCCACGCCCAGGCAGCACACAGCAGGGTTCACTTTTACCCTGGCCTTGCAGCTTCCTCCTCCCACAGGACAGGTGCTTGGAAGCTATGGAGCGATCCTCGCACAGCACAGGAGCCCAACCCAGGCACCGTCAGGGCACTGGGTTGAGGTTCATTTCCCCCCAACTCACTTGCCTGCTCTGGCGCCCAGGGAACAAACAGACGGAGAATTCGCCAGCTCAGTTAGAAACTCCTGTAACTCAACTCTGCAGAGACTGAGCAGCTCTCACTAAGAGCTGGGGCCAGACGCAAAGCTGAGGGGTTGTGTAGACACAGGCACGGCAGCGCCAACGTCTCCCGCATGGGTGACCTGTGCGACGTCGCGGTGATCACCCACGCCTTTTGCCTGCTGACATGTCCCGACGCCAAGGTGAGGAACATTGCGGCGAACGCCCTGCGTGATGCGACAGAGAAGCGGATCAGCAGAGCCCCCTTGAACCAAGATATCGCCACCTTCCTGAGCGGCTCCCTGGATGGGTAGTTCGGGCGGGACGGGCGCGACATCGCTTCACTCTGGTCCCACACTCGCAACTCCACGCGTCGCCTGGGGAAGCGCATCGGCTGCGAGGAGCTGGGAGTCCAGGTGCTGCGGATCAGGTTGGACGACAACACCATCGTCACCCCGTCAGCCAGGGGCTGCTGGAGAGGACTCTGAAGGCCGCCATCCGCTCACTGTACGTGGAAACCCTGAAGCGTAAACCGGACCAGGATAAAGCCTTTGAGTTGCCCAGCAAGTGGGACGCCAGCAACCACTTCCTCGCCGGGGGCGGCTTCACCCGTTTCGCCGACTGGGGGTTCATCCACTGTGCCCGGCTCAACTGCGTCCCGCTCAACGGAGCCGTCCGCCACGGGAACCGAGACAAGCGTTGCAGGAAGTGCGGCTACCCCAACGAGACCCTGCCCCACGTCTTGTGCAGCTGAAAACCCCACTCCAGAGCCTGGCAACTGCGCCACAACGCCATCCAGAACCGCCTGGTGAAAGCCATCGCGCCACGCCTAGGGGAGATCTCCGTGAACTGCACCATCGCTGGTACTGACAGCCAGCTACGACCTGACGTGGTCGTCACCAACGAGGCCCAGAAAAAGATCATTCTCGTCGACGTCACGGTCTCCTTTGAGAACAGGACCCCGGCATTTTGCGAAGCCTGAGCTCGTAATCTGGAAAAGTACGCCCCCCTTGGCTGACACCCTGAGAGCGAAGGGCTCTGAGGTGCAGATGGACGTCCTCATTATCGGAGCCCTGGGCGCCTGGGACCCCTGCAACGAGCGTGTGCTGCGGACCTGCGGGATCGGTCGACGCTACGCACGTCTCATGCGGCGCCTCATGGTCTCAGACGCCTTCCAATGGTCCAGGGACATCTACAGCGAGCACATCACCGGCCACCGACAGTACCAGGAGGCGTGAGTCAGAGTGACATCGTTCTCCCACTACGAGAAAGGGACCAAGTGACCTTCTCCGTTGGATCATATGAACTGGAACCATAAAGTCCCTGAACATTAAAT